CACCATATGTTTTTCATTACGTCATCGGTAGTATTATTTCGCGTAGAGTAGAAAATCATTAGAAGGAAAAATAACATATTAATATCTGTGTTGTTTTGCTTCGTCTATTTCATACGATTTACTTTAGAGATATATCTGCTGGTGAAGAGTTAACATTCAACTATAATTTTGTTGCATTGGGTCAAGAACGTTTGAATTGTCGATGTGGTGCGTCAAATTGTGTTGGTTTTCTTGGTGCACGTTCAGAATCATCGAGTAATAATAATGGTAGTGGACAAGTTGGCGGTAACTCATCTTCTAATTTTGGTGAATCAAATAATCCATCAAATGCTTTGATTAACACAGATATTAGCCGTGGATCATCTAAACGTCATAGCGTTCAAACAAATCCACGCTCCAACGATATTGATAAGTGTCATATGAAAGATGGACGTGATATATGTTCTAGTAAAGTTTCTAATCATAATCTATCTACTACTTCACTGATGAACAATAACAAAAACGGTTCGACCAATGTGAATAGTCCCTTGAATATGAATAGACGTCACGAAACTAAATGTTTCCGGTCGGTAGTATATATGGGGATATTTTTCTCGTTCTAAGTAATAATACTTCATATTTGATTTTTCTCAAACTTTTGTCCTGTTTGTGAAATTCTAGTTTGGATTCTTAGGATAAATGATTCTGTTTAAAGAAATCCGAAACTACCCTACTTATTGTCTACGGGTCTCAACCGATCTCTTGTATAAATGTTTACCGAATAGTAACCGCTGTCATTATCTAGTGTTCGTTGATTCCTTCCGATCATCCAACACCAAACACACACAAACTTAATTATTTGACTTAGTGGTCACATTTCGGCTTTATCAATAGAATTTTATCAGCTATAAGAACTAGTCAACATGATTACACTTGATTCTTGGTGATTGGTTACTGTAATTCATTGAATGCATTATGCAACCATTAAAGCAAAAAAATAATGATTTTACCTTGAAAGCTGCTACGTTCTTCTTTGTTTAAAACTAAAACACTGATCACTGCGATCCACTCATCTTGGCACAAATCAAAACCATACATGTTCCAAAGTAACTGGAATAACAATTTACGAAGAAAAAAATTCTAATACCTTCACCCATCCACCAGCGCTGATTAGTTAAAATCTATCTATCAGTATTTTTGGACTTGCAGTGAGCATGCAATTGTTTTCAGTAATTTAGGATTATTTTAGTCTCCAGAAGCATCATTTACACTGAATATCAATATTCTAGCAATTGCAATAAAGTTAGAAACTATTAAGTGAGTGAATCTCTGCTTCCCACTTTTATGGTAGTAGTGATTTTTCATTACATAGAAATTATATTTTAGTGAATGGTCACTGTTTTTGCGTAAATCATGAACAGCCTAGTTTTAAAACAATTCAGTGTTTGATATATAACTTGGATGCTTATTATCTTTAATCAAAACATTTCATAAACAGTCATTTATGATTTACTGTTTCATATTTTGTTCAAAGTCAAAATCCTTAACTTTACGCAACTCACTGGTAAACTTTCATGAAATATTATCAATATGTATGGATATTATTTTATGATTAAAAGTAATAATTATTTCCAGGAGTACTTTATTAATATCAAGATATTTGCTATTCAACTACCTATTTGTCTAATTGTTCACTAAAAATTGTTTTCAATGTTGTTTCATAGATGTGGTGAAAAAGACGCTCCTATTGGAAAGCGATCACTATCATTATTCAGTGAAACATTGAGTCTAACGAATTCTTCACATACTAATACTACTATTGTACCATCATCTTCATTGTCATCGAATAAATCTCTAAGTAAACGTGGACTAAAGCGTGAACTAGAAGATTTAGTTGCATCAGTTGTAAATCATTCACCAAGCAAAAGTCAACATGGACTCAGTTCGCCTACACTAATCAGTCGAAACGAAACACAATCATCGGTTTTTATTAGTACTACTAATGCTACGACCACTGAAGATCAAACATCGTACAAGTCACCTGATCTTATTTTATGCAGTAAACACGATTGTTCTAAAGCTTATCATTTATTCTGCCTGGATTTAGATACACCACCTCAAGGTAAGATTAATGTTATTCCCACTATTTTTATAACAAATATTGTATTGGGTCTCTTATTTGCATATTTATTCTAATTATAGGTCAGTGGTTTTGTCCCTGGCATCATTGTGATGCATGTGGTCGTCCCTCTCATATTTTCTGTTCCATATGTCCATCTTCATTTTGTCTGGCCCATGTTGAAGGTAGTATTGTTGTTCTGCCTCCAGTTCTACCAAAACGCAATCGTAAACTATCTAACAATCGACCTGAAAATAATGTTGACCCTATAGAAAATAGGAAACTCTACTCTCTTCTTGCTCGAGTAAGTTTGTTTCTTTCACAGGATTTATAATGTTTCGTAACCTTAAAATGGAATTTAATTGGGACTCGAAATGCTGATTGCCTGCATCAACATTATTATTATTATTATTATTATTATTTATTATTATTATTATTATTATTATTATTATTATTATTATTATTATTATTATTATTATTATTTACGTCATTTATCCACTCTCTTTTATTCCCACTTTGTGTATCCTTATTTTTCGGCTTATACAGCAGCTCGCTTATGGTGGAAACTCGGTTCTATCTAAACGTTTTCGAGTCACTGCCTGGTTAAAAATTGTATGCTACCACCAAATACGAATACTGAAGCAGTTTTTCTGAAACCACGTACACCATTCAAACTGGCTGCCTTCAACATTCGCACACTTATGCAAGTCGGACAACAGATAGGGCTGGCTATGTCTTTGAATGTCTATCCGAGACCCGTATTCAAGACTCTGGTGAAGTACTGCAAATTCGCTCTCCATCTGTCGCTTCAAAAAGCTTGTTTTACGTGCGTTTATCGGGGACCTTGTGACTTGAATACTCAGGTCGGGCGTCTAGGCACAGAAGAGAGTCGTTTAGGTGGCCGATGGGGACTTGTTGGTCGCAGGACAGATAACGGGGACCGTCCACTGCAACTGTGCACAGACCACAACCTGTTTCTGGCTAGCACTAACTTTCGGCACAGTCATCGCCGATTTGCCACCTGGCGTCCTCCCTCTGCACCTCAAGCCTGGACTCAGATTGATCACATCGCGATCAGCTACCTCTGGCGTGGTTGTGTACAAGACTGCCGCTCCTATGGAGTACCTATCTGGACTCTAATCATGCTCTGGTCTGCGCCAATCTTACTTTACTACTTTTCAGTGGACAACGAAGTGACCACCACCAAAGTATTGATGTCAGCAAGTTGGTTGCAACTTCTATTGAAAGTAAGTATCGAACCGAGCTAGTTTCTAGGCTAGCTGCCATTCCACCGAAAAGTATAGATGAGCATTGGTTGCAATTGCATGACGCCATGAAAATGGCGGGAACAGTCAGTTGTGGGTTCGTAAAACGTCCCGCTTATGAGCACTGGGTTTCTTCAGGTTCCTTACAACTCATTGAAGCCCTTCGGTCTACTCCGGATGACCGTGAGTTTGACCACAAACGAAGGATGTTACGTAAGGAAATTGGGCAAAGCTTGCGTAAGGACCAAGAAGCCTGGTGGTCGGAGCGTGTTAATGAGTTGTAAGCAGCAGCTGCATCTGGTAATTACCGGAAGCTCTTCCAACTCATCCGAGCCACTGGCAACAAGAAGTCTGATGTGGGCGAAACAATCTGCGAGGATGATGGGATGCCAATCACTAACATCCATCGACGTCTTGGACGATGGGCAGAATTTTTTGAAGGACAGTTCAACTGGCCTGCTGCTCCGGCAACATCGGTCAAACTGTCCTGCCCTCCATGGCCGGTGACGACTGATCCACCAAATGAGGCAGAAGTCCGCGAGGAACTCCAACTCTTGAAGCGCTACAAATCACCTGGCCCAGATGACTTACCTCCGGCTCTTTTTAAAAATAGTGGTGACTTTCTGACTAAGGAATTGACGACGTTGTTTATAAAGGTCTGGGAGCTAGAGAGTGTACCAACGTCATGGAATGAGTCGATAGTTGTCCCTATCTTTAAAAAGGATTCATGTCGTTCCTGTAACAACTATCGGGGGATAAGTCTACTTCCGATTGCGTCCAAGCTATTAGCTTCCATCATACTTCTTAGGTTGTTCAAAACCCGAGAAAGATTGACACGCGAGGAGCAGGCTGGTTTTCGTTCCTGTCGAGGATGTATTGGTCATATCTCCACCACCCGCCAAATGTTAGAGCACCGCCACATTTATCAAAGGCCAACAATCGTAGTGTTTCTTGACATTAGGGCTGCTTTCGATTCGTTGAACAGAACCATCTTGAAACACCGACTTCGGTGGCTTGGACATGTTCTACGAATGTCGTCCCAGAGAATTCCACGTCGTGCATTATTTGCCGACGCTGGGACTGGTTGGAAGAAGCGGAGAGGTGGTCAGTGCATGACATGGTGTCGTGGCATGAAAGAAAACTGCAAAGGGCTGGCTTGTGTTGGTCCTTCACGACTCCCTGGTTGCGGTTCGAGAGATGGTGCAAATAGTGGCCAGAGACGTTATCAGACATGGCTCAGAATAGAAGCCAGTGGCGATCCTGCTGTAACCTTCTTTTACTTTCTTTATAAAAAGTTGTATCTTCCTTAACTGAAAGATTTCTTCTGATTGTACCTTTCCGTTTCCCCCATTATTACTATTACACTACCTTGCACTAATCTGTTCGTTATTGTTCTTTTTTAACGCTCCTTACCTTCTTTTTTTCTCTTCGAAGTCTCGTTGTTTTGTGTGGCGCATATATATTTGGTGCCCTCTTGTACCAATATTTATGTGTTCAAATAAAATAAATAATAAATATAATAACAAGGGGTAAACTATTTTTGAAAGTAATCTTTTCCCATCAAAATAAACTAGTTTCATGAGGTCAATAAAATTAGATGCCTTGTTTCTTTAGACTCTTTCCTGAAGAAATTGTTTGCATGACAATGGCCAGATTTACATATATTTTAATATGATCTTTTTTTAATTATGACAAGTGGTGTAGTAAAAAGGGCAATTACTGGACAAATATAACTCACCATTGAGTCAGCAGTTCTTCGTTTGCTTATTTCATCATTATGAAAGAAACTTACTCAGGCATTAAAGTTATTGATCATAGCCATACTATTTGTAGAAAGTTGAATTGTACCAACATTTAATCAGGGGTTTAAATTGCTTACCATCTGGTATAAATGTTTTCATGTGAAATTTTTCTAGAACAGTAATAAGAAATCTATTAAATATGATCAAGATAAACTTGTAATTCTCTTGATTAGTACACAACAACAATGACTTAAACGTCGTAAGAAACATGAAACACGATATGTTCAACTACTTATCAATCTTTTCCACTACTGTGTTAATCTCCAATCATCTGAAAATTAGTAAAGTTTTCACTCTTACAATATATAATAGCATTTGAAAAATTAAAACGTTTAAGCAAAGATTTTCTTTTCGACTATATCATGCACTAGAACTGTATATGATAATTACGCGACTGTATCTTTTTTTCTTTATTTCAACTACTCTAGATCGTTTGTATGTTTCACCATGACCTGATAAACAATGTCCACGATCGACCTGTAGTAAAGAAAAAGAAGCTTAATCCATTAGTGTCATCAACGTCGAGTAAATCTGATAAATGCGAGAAGGATGTTTGTACTGAAATACTACAAGATCATTTGAATGGTAGTAATAGTTACTCTTCAGGATTGATGATGACAAGACGTCAAAGCCTTTTGCGTCAGTCAACAATGTCCCAAGCTGAACATTGCAATGATATTAGTACGCCTAATAACAACGATAGTAATAATTCGACTAGTTCGTGTGGTTTAGAAACAACAAAACAAAATGACTGTCTTTCAAATTGTGTAAGCACAACACCAAATCGGACTATTGAGACCAACTAGAGGTTGGTAGATTAATTTCATTTTAATGTCTTTTTGTATATGTATAACTGTATTACTTATTTTTTTAATCCAAATAATAAAGCTTGTTGTTTATAATTTCCTGATTTGAAAAGCATATTGTGACGGTAGAAATTAAAATCAGACTCAATATAATTCAATGATGGCAACTTTTTGTTTTATTCTAGGATTTAATACCGATTGGATGGTTTTTTCATTATTTTTAACTGTCTACAAGCTTATCAATTTCAGAGAACTATTGAATTTATCAGCAAGTTTCGATTCACAGATGCGAATATTGTCTAATTAGCAGATTATTTTTATTCAAGCTAAGATATTTCCCTTGCATGGGACAGTTATTGAATGAGAATAGCTATTTTCACCTACATTGATTATAAATTAGTGTCTGTTGTATATTCAGAAGTGCTCGTCTTTTGAAAATATAATGGTCTTTTTCTCAGCGTTAGACTGAATGGATAGAAATGACCAAGTTGTTTAAGCTATCGTGCCCATATTTACAATCTTTGTTAAAATTTATTTAATCTTTCAAAGTTATTGTAGACGATTATTAAGATTGCGGGAAAACAAGTTTTCATGATCACGATTCAAAATATCACTCTTCAAATCTTTATGTTGTATGCCTTTAATATCTGCCACACATTTAATATGTTAAACTTGCACTGAGTATATCGTTTCACTGGATGAACGTCCACTGCTTCCACGTTTTTCATAGTGGTCTAGCTTTAATTGACTCATGAACTCAACTACTAAATTACTACAATCTCCACAAAAACCCCCTCCCGATTAAAAATTGTAAAGCAATAATCATTATTAATACTCTAAGTACTATATTGCACATCGTAAACAGGAAGTGTATATGTCATGATAAATAAGTAGGAAAGTAGAAGACAGTGAAGATCAAAAAAGCATATCATCTTTTTATAAATCTACTCATTGTTAATGAAACAGCAATTAAAATAAATTAGGATATTAAAACAAAAATACTACATTAAGAATAAACTACCCATTTACATCTACAAAAGTTCAATATTTGACATGTCAATAATGATCACATAATGAGATTATTTTATTTGTACAAAGATGCAAACCATAAATAAATAAAATGTAAAGGATAAGAGACAAAATATGAATAGTAAACTGAATAAATGAACATTTCACTATTAATATTTATTATTTATCTTTCTATCTGTAAATAAAGAAATACTGCATTAGAAGATCCCTAATTGTTTTATAATTCTTTTTGGTTGTTAGAAGCCTGTTGAAGAGGAAAAAGAAGGGTTGAATATGAGAGAGAAGGATAGGAATGTTTCGACTCATTGCTGACTTAATGTGACTAGGTTTAAAACAATAAACATAAACTGTAAGGTATTGTTTTTCTACTAAGAAATTATGAATATTTTTAAAAAATGGAGGAAATTGGTGGCCTGCTGAAGAAAGACATTGGCATAATCTACGTCCAGATAATTGTAGAGACAAGCAAATGAAGAGTAACAATGACCTCAATGTAGACATAAACAATTCAGGGGGCAACATCTTTTGAATCGTTTTTGTTGACCTGTAATAATTGTTAACAAATATCAAAGTATGCATGAATAAGCATAAAAAGACATGTTTTTAAATTAGCAATGACATTGAAAATATGAATTAAAGCTGAGAACAATCGTCAATGTCAAATCCGAACGAATCAAAACTCAAACCCCATATGAATTCAGAATATTGATAATTTGGTTGGTGGTTCGAAGCTATGCTAGGGGATGGGGGTCAATAGTGGGAGCCTTGAAACGATGACCAGATTTATCTATGTCAATGTTAAAAGTCATACAGAATAGGATGGTTGACTCGTTGAGTTTTACTAGATTTCAAAGTACGATTTGAAGTAGTAACACCAAAGTCAGTTGTTACCAAAGTATGAATAAATTCATTGTTATTAGAGTTTACATTAAATCCGTTCATTAAAACAGTATCTTTAAAAAATTTTGAAAGGGCAAGAAGATAGAATTGGCCTAAAAAATGTGATTTATATGCTCTATATGTTTCAAACACTCTGATTACACATTTACTTTCAAAGGTATTTCTTGTGAAAGGTCAAGTAGATTAAAAGTGATAACTGAAAATTAATGGGAGATAAGGTATAGCATAGAAATAATTAAAAGACTTTATATTATTCATGGCATTAATATGTTACGAACCATCAACCTAAGTTTAAAATGAAAAAAAGTTTTTGAACGCAAAAGTAGATTTTCTTAATACTCAAAATCTCCACAAATTTAAGAACCCATACCAATAGAAAAGTTTTTTAACTTTTATGTGGAAGGTGAAGGTTTAAAAATCTATCCTAATTTGGATGTTACGAGATATTTTCTAGTTATAAACCATAATATGAAGGGACGTGTCTATCTATTTTTTGTGCTCACCTGAGAATGACACCGAGAAAGCTTGAGACAATTTCAGTAAATGTCCAACCACCCTCAAGTACATACCTCGAATACCCCCTCCCCTATATTCGTGTACACGCGCATGCACATATGTGAACGAAGTGGAATGTGTATCGTAATTGCCCACACGATGTTCGAAATTGTCTGAAATCATAGGTTCTCCCTTTGCAATGACGATCAACTGGGCAACATAATACCTCCCCGATGATTTTTCTGTCTGGGCTTGAAAATTATGATGGTTCACTTTTGCATGATATGATAAAAACGCTACTCGGCTTAGCAAGATATAGTTCTGTATACTATACGATCTATCTAACAAGGCTACATCAAACTGTGAATTACGTATAGCAAGTATATCTTCTGCATATCTTTTGTACAGGGTAGCCTCGCCGATGAGCTTCATAGTATGTTTTTCAACATACAACAAATACCATCTAAAAGTAATCCTAAATGACAATCTTTTTAAGTAGTTAACCCCCTTATTTTTTAAATAATTCGCCCTGAAAAGTTAATAGAAATAAATTTGTTTGACACCTATGCACACATATATCACATTTTGTTCTGAGAACCCTGTCAATAAATGTTTCAATAAAAATAGTTACCAACATTAGAAACATAGGTAGGTTAGGAGGGAAAATGATTTAGGAATAATGAAACCACTAAAGACGTTTTCAAAGGGCAAAGAAAGATCAGATACCTCTGACCTTCCACTACTTCAAATGAATCATCTAATATGGTAAAACCTACAAAGAAAAAATGATATTACTTCTCTAATCCACCTTGATAGCTATAGGTCACTATCGAGTAAAATCAATGATTTTAAACACCAATAAAGCCAATTACTTTAAAGCATGTGCTGAACTATCAAAAATAATTATTGGCTTTTGATTTGATAATCTACCAACAATCATAGTGTATTGTACGCGCATTAACTATGTTTATGGAGGTTTCCATAATAAAAGGTTTTCAAGTAAATCATTTTGAAAGGGCCCTTTACTGACAGTAATTTATTAAAAAGACTGATGGGAGTGTTTACATTTAGCTGGAAGGTGTTTAATTATACTTACCATTTATCCTCGCCAATGACATCGTTTTATGTTGAATTAAATGCATTGTAATCGTTTCAGAGGGTAGTTTCAATTCTGAAAATGAATTACACATAGATACATGCTGAACACTTAAAAAACAGGTGAGTCCCACCTAGTGATTTCAAGACAATTAATGGTTATGTAGCAATTCCACAGTCAAATCTATTTATTTCAGTATACACAATAGGTATTTTTAGATTCTATATAAATGCAACTTATAACCTTATAAACGGTCTCTCAACAGTGTTGAAGTAGAATCTCCGAAAACTAGGATATTTCAGAAAAGTCATCAGTTCAATGATCCCCTAGTTTTAGTTACGTATAGAGTATAAGTGGGTGCCTTTGTCCCAGGGAAATGGGGTTGCTGGGGCTAGTAGCTGTAACGCCATCGAACAGTTGTCTAATTGGTTGTAATATAAACTATGGTGATAAAATGTAGTGGAGAGGACTATTTATGAACAAACAAGAGAGAAACAAGTAAACACATTACTATATCAAAATAACCAGATGAACGGGAATAATCAGAGATAAAATAGGGTAAGATATGCGAATCATACCGAGAAATGAGGTGAAGGTAAGACTGATCAGTAAAATAACTCCTTACTATATACAAGTGTACTTAACCGCTGTTCTATGTGTAATACGATAACCAACAACTACATACACGACTATGTAGTCTCCTTAAACTGTCTACAGAGTCAGAGGCTGTGATTTCATTTGGTGTGAAAGTGTTTTCAGTAGAACACTGATTGAGTGAAAAAGTGAGGTTTCGCTTCATCTATCACTTTGAATGAGTTAATTTCTAAGGGTTACCTTCGCGATGCGACTGCGGGCTCCAGGTAAAATAACTTCAATCATGTAGCCTGTATTCAGTATGTCCTATAGCAAGATCAGACCGTTTCTTACAAAGCCCCAGTTGGTGAAATTAACAGTCAAACGGCTCGTTTATTCTTTTTGCGGCTTGCTTTGCTGAAGATCTATATGACAAGCTGACTAAGCATAACTTAATTCTTTAGTACTAGATCGTAAATAAGTCACTCGTCCTTTACAGTAGATTGAAACAGAGCGTATCACATGACACTATCAGAAAAAATGATAGACATGACACAAACTAGAAGCATTATAATAAATACACTGATAAGCTATCGGGTATTCGTGGGGAAACACACCTGACAGTTTGAGAGTGCCATGCAAAAATCGGCCTTGGAAAATAAGTTTCAAGTGATTTGAATCTGGCCTCTTTCCCAAACCTATTGAACCATTACTAGTACTAAATGACTTACTATCAGGCCAATCACTGAACAAAGAAGAAGTAATTTGCTCGACTGTAGTATCTTGCTCATATTTATGCTCAAAGAATGATCCATCAGGCATCAATAACTTCAAGTGCACCTACACAAAAACAGAAAATCAGAAAAATTAAAATTACTGCCATTGTCACTACTATTGACGCTAAACTGTTACACTAATATTCGAAAACTGTGAAGACTACATTAAGCTTCCCTAGATTGTAACCCAAAAACTTGGAATAGCGCCAACCGTACTCTACATATTAGGATATTAAATCAACTAACCATCATAACATTAAGTGGATGTCAAACTACTCAGTAAAGTAAAACTCACATTTTTTAGTTGGTGAACCACCGCCAACCTTCATTTTTCCATTCATCGTGGGATATTTTAACCCTTAGAAATTTTGCTTCTATTTAAAGTTGGAGATGCTATTCGAACTCATTTCAAATCTATGAGTCATCAGATAGAAGTATAGCAATACGAAAAGGCTTACAAAATGCATGGATCTTCATCCGAAAGTTTCTGAATCTGTGAATGATTAACCAATGATCTAGTGAGTACCTAATAGTAGTCTGTTACACTTTAAAATAAGTAGCTTTCTAAACGATTGACTAATGTACTAGCCTTTGTAGCTCTGGTTTGTGTTGCGAACTAATAATGACCGGTGAAGTTTCTCGGTAATATTCTCGGACTTTATAACAAAGTGACCTATCTCTTCACTGACGTGCATACGAACACAGACTGGGAGGGAAATGCGATAATTCGGTATCATTTGTGCTAGTACATATAGACAACCATAGACAATGACTTAACTGGGAAAATGTTGAAATTCTCAATTGATGGAATTCTAGAAATATACAAGAATTTATTAAAATGTGAAATTCTGACCCATCGATAATCTAAAAGCACATCAGTGTCTACCGTCTATCAACGTATCTAGAAAATGTCAATCAGTCCTACAGCTTAACCAAGAATGACGGTAGATTTGCGAACAAAAGCGAGTGAGAGCTGAATACCTGCGAAGATAACTGTATTCTATATGTCAGGGATAACCGGTTTTACGAAGTAGAGTAGAAATCTTCGATGCATGTTCTGAAATGGTGATCTAGATAGTGTTACTAATCTCGAAAGCTTGTTTACGTAACCGGCCCATCTGCCAGTTTATCACGACAGTAGTATAGACTCAGATTATGTAAGAAAACCCTTCAAGTTCATCAATAGACATTCTAATATTGTAGCAGAAGCCTCATCACTGAAAGACATCAACACGGTGGTGCGAGAACAAGATATCAATCTTGAAACCATGGCCAAGTTACACGTAGACGACGCAGGTTCAAAAACGTGCATAGTCCCATGAATTATCACATGTGAGCTATAGCAAAACTCATCATGAAACTGTTTGTTTGCCTGAAAATTGACGCGTACGTGAAAAAAGTGGACAAGCTGCACACAATCCCAAAGCAGCAAGGTCCGACGGTATACAGTCACTGTTCTTGAAGAATTTCCAGTGCTCGACAGACTTTTTCGGGAGCGCGCATCTAGATTTCTTTAACCACCTCCTTCCTTCCAACCCTTCTATACGCATAACTCTACACTAGTATTTTTAACCGAAGACGCGTATCATATTTCGTAATGGGTTAACATAAGCAAAAATTGATTGAGAAAGTTATAGCAACTCACGTGCAATTGAGTTCGTTCACATTTAATTAGGTTAAGTAATCTTGTTAACTTATTAACAAGCCGAGTCAACAACTTATCTATATCATTGTATCTTTATTATTGTTGTGAATGTATGAACATGTATGCTTGAGCATTGCTTACTGCCTACACGCTGCTAGCCCTACTACTAACCGCTAAATTGATTCGATGATTCATCCATCTCACTCTGTATATATATGTCCATGTTATTCATATTCGCTGCTCTCTCTCGCTTACTCGTACTCATATTCGCTGACTCACTCGCTCGCTCGCTTGCCTGCTTGCCTTTAGGCTCAACGCTTTCATACTTGTTTAACGCACTTGTAATTTTGGATGTCTGTGTGTGGTCCCATAATAAACGTAATCAACACTTCGTATTTGCCTTCTGATTAATATACCGTTGGGGCGTTATCTAGTGCTGGTTATCAAGACGAACTGTATACGAAGGTTAAGGGTTATATTGAATAATGACCACCACAAAGTTAAAGTGAAAATGATGATTTACAATAGACTGCACTTCTTTAGTCGGACCTACCAATGTAGAATTATAGTCTTCTTTGTTATCAGTACTGGCCTAATAATAGACCTAATCCTAAAATCGTAGTTATGTCATGAAGTGACTGCCTAAACTATAAGATCTTGGAGGTCACAGCATTCTCTACACCGACTCGTCGTATCGCAAGAATTAACGATATGATATTTAGTGCTTCTGTAAAACACATTTGGGCGGAAGATGCGGTAATGTATTTAACATGAATAAATACAAGTTAAACAGAATAACCACGCCTGCACGGCTGAACCGTACCAACCGAATGAATGCATGAGTATTCCCGAGTTCATCACTGTTGGCCTTCCCTCAGTGTTAACTCTTTAATATTTATTTTCTCAGTTGCCAGATGTTCAGCTTTGAGTATTGTGCAGTAAGGGTCAATACCACCACGTTATGCAAGACATTTGTCTCAGCATCAGCAATCAGATGTCTTAAAACGTTTTCGTCTTAGAAATGTCGAAAACGATTGAAGGCAGGTAGTATGAGCAATAATGACGAAGTTGACGGTTGTCAAGACGAACTGTATACGAAGTTTAAGGATTATATTGAATAACGACCGCCACAGAATTGGCGATCCAACGTGTGAGCACGAAACAATCTTCGACGACATAATCCAATTCCGAAAATCCAACGCACCCTCTTTCAATTCGAGCTGTCATTTGGATTATAATCATAACTGTGGATTTGTCATGTCACTATTTTAATTATACGTACATTATCTCACAAATGTTATTGAATATAACGACAATATTCATAGTAAACAACGATATTTTACAAACAGTTGATATTTTTGTGCAATTTAGTAAATCCGTTCTTTGTTATAAATTGTAACATTTGTTATTATCGTTGTTTTTACCGATTCACTTCTCTCTGTAACATTCACATTATATTCGTGTACTTTTTGATCTTTATAAATGTCTTTAAGTAACGACACAAGAGACCTTTCACAAACGCCATCCGTGAGGTCCACTAGTGTAACTATTCCCCCTTATAAGGTCACAGATTCTCAATTTCGGTTTATCAGACTTGAACATTACTTTGTAGCTAGTCGTGTTCATTCACAGTGAGATAAATTTGGCCACACGAGCTCACTACTCCCAGATGAAATAGCAGACAATGTACGAGAGCTTTTAACTAAGCCAGACATATAAAAGTCATACGACGCACTAAAACAGGTAGTGATTAAAGCTATCTCATTATGCGACAGGCAAGCCGTCGAACAGCTACTCAGTCAAGGAGTGTGGGAGTGGATCTGTTTTGTACACATCAATCTCCATCTAAGGATATCACATGGTTTACAAAACAGTAGACTGTGGACATTTCAGCAGTTATACAGGACTCAAATAGACCATATTGCCATCAGTCATTGCTGGATAGGCTCTTTAGAATACTGTCACTCGTCTTGGAATATCTGCTTGAACTCCGCGCATGCTAATACGAGCATGCATTCGCTTACGCATCTCTGGACGCAAAAAAACACATTAAAAGATTCATTAGAATTAAAATGGTGATTAGAAAGCCAGAAGTATACTACATGAACAACTGAAGTCACACTTTGGCGGTTTCGGAAACGAAGCTAACCCAGATGTTGCTTGGAAAGATATATAAACATTTGCGGAAACAGCATTGACAACTATTACTGATTTAAACCAAAGGGTAACAAAATATCATTGGATTTTTGCTAAGTTTATTGCACTAATGAATTCTCTTAAACTCAGTCCATCAAGCTCGGAACATGATGAAAAGCAAAAACAAATCAGATCTAGGTTAACGAAAAGTTTAAAGAACGAGCAGTGGTGGGCAAAGTAAGCTAAAGAGATGGGAAAGATTGTGGCTGTAGGTAACACAAAACAGCTTTTCAGAACCAGATTAAGAAGTCACGTGTAAGTTAGACAATCTCAGAAAATACGACACTTAACTGCTCTGTTTATAACGATGGGAGGAACACTTTAAGCAGCAGTTCATCCAGCCTGAATGGAACATTTAAGTAGGTCCCCCGACTCTAATTGAAGTTCGAAAAGCCATAGCTAATCTGAGACGGGGAAGAGTAGTTCGTCCAGATAGATTGACTCCAGTGATTCTTAAATATGGTGTTCTGATTTTAGCGATTAGGTTGATTAATGTTTTAGCTAAAATCTGGGAGTTGGACGTATTCCCATCTGACTGGTCACAATCACTTATTGTCCCGATATATAAAAAGTGGTCAACATCATCCTGTGAACACTATAAAGGGATTAGTATGACTAATATTGTATCTAAAATACTAGCCTCAATAATTATCGGACGCCTAGCAAAGACCAATGAACCGCTAACACGAGAGAATCAAGCTGGCTTCAGACCTGCTCATGGCTGCATTGATCACATATTCACCATTCGTCGGGTTCCAGAACGCAGGCATGGTTACCGGCGTCCGACAATGGTGGTCCTTCTTGACTTAAAAGCAGCATTCGACTCTGTAGATCAAGAGGTTCTATGGCATTGAAAGGTGTACCACAGAAGTACATAAACCTTGTGAAGGCTCTTTACTCGAACACTACTAGTTGAGTCAGAGCTCATGGTGAACTGTCATCTGACTTTGCAACCTCAAGTGGTGTTCGCCAATGCTGCCCACTATCTCCATTTTCGTTCAATTTCATCATAGTGATTATACTGGAAATACCGTTGTCGTCTTCTGAATGTTCAGGAATTGATCTACCAGGAGGTTCACTTATTGACTTAAAATACGCATACGATATAGTCCTATGTTGTGAGGACGCTGATAAAATACACAGTCTATCGACGGCAATCAACAACAATGCCAGGATGTTTATGATGCGTTCCTCCCCCTCTAAATGCAAGTCGTTGCTTCAGGACTGGTCTGCGTCAACACCTGAACTAAGGATAGGGAGTGAAGT